AACAAGGGTTGCTACACAAGAGGTTAGACTAAGTAGTCTTTCTGTTCTAACAAACAAACGGCTCTTGGTATTAAGTATTTTACACCATAAATCCTTAAACCATAATGATTAATAGTCCACCAGGCTGAATTGAGGCTGAGTTCATTGGTGAGGGTGGGGACTGGCCCCTGGCTACCAGGAAGGCACAGAAACAAAGGAATAGTGCACCTCCTTGCCACCACCTCCAACCATGTCCTGTTCAGCCTCGGCTCTGCCTGGGGATGCTACTGGCTTCTGGAGGCACATGAGCCCTCCTTGAACTATGATACACAAACAGTGAACAGAAAACCAACTTCATTCACACTTCCAGCCTCTACCACATCCACAAGGAGACAAGTGGTGAACACCTGAGAATACATCAATACATGCAACCATCAACTAATATAAATGTTGTTAAGTACCTTTGAATCAGTTCCACAATGCCTCAGAGAAAACAATTTCAGCTTACACAAAGAAACTAGACAGAGTGCCTCAAAGAAATGACCAAAATGCAGAGTCAGAAAATACAAAACCAGAAATAGTGTCGGAACTACCTAATAGCCACCCACAATCCGCCCATTTTTCTTCTCTCTCACTGCTCCTGTTCAGCTTCCTCTTCCAGTCGACATCCAGTCCACCTCTCTGACCTGTCCTCAGATACACAGGGTTCCAGGATCACCATATGCATGTTTCACTCGGTCTTCCATGTCTTTGTTGCAGAGACTTGGCTCAGTGCATCTGCCTACTCTACCATCTTGCCCTTGGCTCTCCCTCAATCCAGTTTCATCTTCCTTGCCCTCATAACAGTCCTGTGGAGGGGAGAGGTCTTTGGTTTTGTTGGGGAGTATAGCGTTTCTTTTGTAATTCCCCCAGGAGAAGAACATCATGTGTGACAAAGTAGAGGGACAGAGTAGAAGAGGAAATCTTTCAAAGAGATGGAACGCCACAGTGGCCATAACAGTGGGATCAAACACAGCGATTGTGAGGCTGCTGCAGTGCTGGGCAACATTTTGTTCTGGCATACATGGGGTTAAGGATCTCTGGTAGCATAGTGGTTACAAGTCAGGCTGCTAACCTCAAGGTTAACAGTTCAAAACAATAGCAGTTCCAGAAAGATGAGGCTTTCTGCTCCCATAAAGATTTACAGCCTCGGAAACCATATACAGAATCCCTATGAGTCAGAACCAACTCCAGGGCACATAACCACCACCACCATACATGGGGTTACTATGATTTGAGCTGACTTGATGGCACTTCACAACAACAACAATAATAGCAACAACATAGTGCTTGTCATGGGAGACAATTCCCTTCCCTTCCCTCCCACCAAAGTAGGGAGGGCTCAAAGCCCTTATGTGGATTGAGGAGGTACTGCAAGAGGAGATATTGGGCTCTTCCCTAGTGGAGCCTCCTTGGCCGTGGACCTGCTGATTCTCCCCTTGTGCCTATTGAGTTGTGAAGGAGAGAGATGGACAGAGGGATAGCTGGCCAAGATGTGTATGTTTCTCTGGGTTAAGTGCTCATTGTTGGATGGAGATTTAACAAGAGAAAGTGATCCCAAAGTAATACAATCTGCCTAAGATGACATTAAAGGATGGAAAAGGAAGATTCAGCACAACATGGTTGGGGGTCGGGGAGCTTCATTATTGTGTTCCAGCGTTGCCGCTATACACTGTTCCACAAGTAAGCAGAGTAATTGGAAAACAGTGTGGTAGGGCTTAAGCTTTGCTTAGGTAAGGTTCTGAGAGATCAGGGGAAGTAGGTGCACAGTCCCCAGGATGGGTATCAGAGAGGACTTACCATGGGAAAGGCACCTGAACAGAGTTGAAAGATGAGAAGAAACTGGTCAGATAAAAGATAGAGTGACAGCCTGGTACTGGTACAACTGTAGGGAGGGAGTCCAGAGATAATTAGAACGTTAAGCAGGATGCAGGAGGTGTGGGTCAAGATGTAGAACAGAAGGCTCATGGCCTTCCAGCCTCCTGAGTTTTAAGAGGAAGACACCTGGGGGCCACTTTAAACTGGGGAGCAACACAATCAGGTTTGCACTGTCGACAGACCCTTCTGATCAGCAAATGCTGGAGCCTTATAGACACTTGTTCTTCTTGCCCTTTTCTCGTCTATTCACCTGGCCCCCTACTGCAGCCCCTACCGCCTGCAAGGCCAATTCTTGTGTGATTCCAGCATCCTGGTACGCCACAATTCTGAAATGTCCTTTGCTGAGCCTCTCAATTTCCCTCTGAAACATTGCCAACCTCTCTTGCCTTCTCCAGCACACTCTTTCCAGCCCAAGAAGATTCTATTTCTTTTCTGGGCCTGTGCCTGCCAGCACATGCCCCCTTGGGATATGTATGCACCAAAATATCTTCCCTTTATCTTATCTGGTCTTCACCCCATGGGGCAACCCGCAGGCTACTATTTATTCCTTCACACATTAATTTAAGCAGCTTTAATTGCTGCTATGTTATGTTTTATATAATATAATTAATGTTTTAATTCCGTGTACTTGCTTCCTGAGGCAGTTTCATGAAGGGCCCAATTTTGGAATCAAGCAAATAAAGAATAAGTAATGACTGAAGTTATTATAAAAACGCCCCCTTCCCAAAGGAATTAAAACTGTGCCTGTTTTTTCAAAAGGGAAAAGATAGTTTAAAGTCTCTTCATCCTGGGCATATTTGGGTGACTTCAGTGAAGTCCCCTGGACACTGATTCCATGTGTTCCTCGCCTATTGGGTATCTGACCAGCCTCCCTTCTGTCCAAGGGGCCACTAAAGCAGGAGGCCTGCGCTGGCTACTAAGTTTGCATCCTCCACCCCACCTCCTTTCCTTGGTGGAGGTTGTGCTTAGAACAAAAAGTTACTGAATTCATTAATTCACTTGTCCATTTATTCATTCATTCACCAAATGTGTACTAATGTCCTATTATGTGTTCAGGACTGAACAGATTCAATCTTGCTCTCAAAGAGCTCATAGTCAAATGAGGCCAAGCAGATGGAGTATAGCCTATACCAGTAAATGCATGGGAACAAGGTAGAAAATCGTACCTCTTTCTCAGGGAGCTGGGCAAAGGCTTCATCAAAAATGGGATTTCACCGTCCAAACCATATGCTCTGAGGATCAGACTTTAGCTACCTAGTAGACATAGCAAACTGTCCCTCATCTGATTATTCAGTAATGCTTGTTAGTAATCTCATACATGAGCCCTGGATATCCACAGACAAATGTAAAAACCTTCCCTAAAAGCCAAGACTGTAAATTCCAAAAAGCCAAGTCCTCCCCGATCCAAAAAAAAAAAAAAAAGCTAAAGAGGATAGAGAGAAACACTGTAAACTGATGATATATGGAGGGGATAATAATCAATGTAATGAAACAAGCTATATGAATGGTTGAATGTGAAGCTGATAATGTGCCCTGTAAACTTTCACTCAATGCAAAATAAAAACATTTAATTAAAAAAAAAAGGGATTTCAATAGGTTCAAGGAAGAAGGTAACCACAAGACACAGTAAAACTAAGTGAGACAACAGAGTAAGAAAAACCATTTTGTCTTTGGGAAGTGGGAAGAAAGTGAGTGTGGCTGAAGCCAGGATACGTGGGAGGATACAGCAGGAAGTGAGCGTGGGCAGAGAGGTGGCGGCTGAATGGGGACAAGAAGCTTGGACTATCCTGATGGTGTAGTCGAGTCCAAAGGGATTCATAAACTGGGAAGTGACCCCATCAGATCAGATCTGGGATTATAATAATAACTGCAACTGTATGAACAATGAGAGAGGGAGGAGAGAGGAAAGGAAGGAGAAGAGAGAGCAAGAAAGAGAGGAGATACGGTGAGAGCTGACTGGCACCTAGTAGGTGCTCAACAAGTACTTACGATAGAATGGCTGAGGCTGTTGGGAGAGCGCAGGTGAGGGATAGCGAACCTTTGAATCGCCGTAGTGGCAGAGGTGATGCAAAAGGGTCCCAGAGGTAGAACCGCCAGTGCTGCGAATGTGTGCTTTGCAGCAGAAAGGTTGGGATTAACAGCCTCCTCCTCTCCTGATCTGAACACCTTGGCCGTGTTGCCTGGCACAGAAATTCATAGAGTAAACAGACAACACCCTAACCACCATGTAGTTTAATCTCTTCAGGTTTTATAAGGGGAAAACTGAGGCTCAAGAGAACTCAGCCAGCCCATCAGATGCCGAGCCTGGACAAGAACCAGGTGTTGTGCTGTAGAGTGGGGGTTGTTAACATTGGGCTCAAGGATGTCCGGAGCGCACCAGCGAACCCAGGAAATGTGGGCAGACACCCGGATATTGTAAGATTCTCAAAGGGGTCCTATTAGTTCCCAAGAGGTTGGTCTACTGTGAGCAAATGCTCGTCTCCAGCCGCTGTCTAGGAGCTGAGATGGAATAGAATCCGGATGAGGACTCATGGATGGATGGATGGATGGGTGGGTGAGTGGGGAGGCTGGGACGCTGCGCCCACGCGAGGGAATTTCCTTTGAAAGAGAGAGAAACTGATCTGGAAAACTTTTCCTTGAAATGCCTCTCCGGCCCCTCTCCACCAGACACCCCGGCGGTGGCCTTCCTGTTTTCTGGGGCAGGGGAACTATTTCCAACATCTCCATCTGCGGTAGCGGCGCTTTCGGTTCTGCCGGGATTCCCGGAGGCGCTTGCAGAGAACCATGAGGGTCCGCAGCACCAATGGGGATCTCACTCTCGGGTCAAGGAGGAAGGACTCTCTCTTGGAGGCCCCCAAGAGCGTCCCTAAACTTCTGGCGAAATGAAAACCTCTGGGAATGTCCTGGGGAAATCCGTGTGTGTGTGTGTGTGTGTGTGTGTGTGTGTGTGTGTGTGTCGGGGCTCCGCCCTCCCAGCTAGACTGGCCGCGGTTGGTTCCAGAAGACCCCCGCCCCTTTCCTGGGCGGGAGCAGGAATGGGGTGGGGTTGCTACTTGGGGCAACGCGCGGCGCCCACTACTCCAGCAGTCCTGGTGTGTCCAGCCATGGTTCGCTTGCCTTTGCGGTGTCTGGTCTGGGGCTGCTTGTTGACCGCTGTGAGTTGCGTTTCTACCCCGGCCCTATAGGGAAATTTGGGATTTAAGAGCGGGGAATTGGAAGGGAAGGGCTGCCCGGCCTCGGAGAAGGGAGCTTTCTGGCTGATTTGTCGGGGGACAGGAAGGCGGAAGCTGAGCATATTACCTCGGGTTTTGTCTGAATGGAGTGGGCTGCCTCTCTCCTCCCTGGCTAGGGTCCCAGTGGTACAGGGAGGGCACTGCTGGTACAATGTGCCTAAACGGCGGGGACAGGGTTGGTTTAGAGAACCTCAGGTTATTGATCCGAGAGCCCGAGGCAGAACTTGCCTCGGAGGCCAGCTACACGGACTGGTGTGGAGTGTCCGAGCGCGGGAAATGAGGCCAGCACAGGAAAGGGGCGGGTCTGGCCGCTTCCAGCCACTTTCCTGCCTCTGTCCCCTGTGGGCAAATGTTAATCTTTGGGAGTCGTTTATCTTCTCGGGGCTGCTTTCTTGCTGGGCATCTTGTGGACCAGGGAGTGGGGACAGAGCACTGAGTACTTCTTTGAGACTAACTCCCAGTCCGTCCCAATCCTGGGTGATCTTGAAAGAATACTCAGGGCCATGTCCCTGCGTGCTGCATTCAGGATGGCGTAGACTGCCCCGAGATGGGCCATAAGCAGTTCATGGGACCCGAGAAAGAGTTAGAAGAGTAGCAGGGGGTTTCTCCAGGCACCCAGAAGGGCGCAGAGTCAACCAAGCTTGTCTCCGGGATTTTCAGAGGTTGGCGCTTGACTCACTTTTTGCTTGCATGTATTTTTGTAGTTCCTCATTCTGGAGGCTGGGAATCCCCCAAGTACCTGGCCCTTTCATCCTGCTTCTCTGCAGCATCTCCCAATTTAGTTGTGTGTGTATTCTGGCTTGAGGTCTACGGAACGACCCATGATGTGGGAGGGCTGACAGCAAGGGGACAGTTAGAGGCGAAGCTACCCAGTCTGGAGCTTTCATTTTCATTCTTAAGTAATAGTTCTTAGGGATGAGTCAGGAGTGGAGCTGGAGAGTGGAAGAGGACCCTGTAGGGAGGGTGGTGGGGTGCAGGGTGGTCATCATAAGCCCCAGTTTGTCTCCAGATAGAGGCTTTGTCTAGACAACAGCATTAATAGCAGGGAATCTGGTGTGGCGCTGTGGGTTTATGTGCTGGACTGCAAAGTCAGTTTGAACTACAAGGTCCATGGTTCAGGCACACCAGCCGCTCCTCAGAAACCCTATACAGGGTCGTTATGGGTTGGAATCGACTCAGTGGCGCTTAACAACAGCAATTCATAGAAGGTTTCTTGTGTGGCAGTCTTTGAACATGCTTTGAACAATGCTTTACATACATTCTGGCTCTGATTCATCCCAACTGCCCCATTATACAGATGAAGAAATTGAGGCCCAGAAAGGGGAAAGTACCTTGCCCAAGGTCTCATAGCCGGGTAATACTGGAACCTGGATGTGAATCCACATTGGTCTGATTCTTGCGTCTGCCTCTCAGATAGGGAGTATCTCCAAGTGGGGGCTAGGACTAAGGAGCTTTTGGAGAGAAGTTGTGTTTGTCGTATGTTTAATGATGGCTCAGGGATTGTGAGGGGAAGGTCAAAGAAATTGCTGGCGGAATATTCACTGACTGGTTCATTGGGATGCAGAAGGAGGCGGCAGCAACCTTTTTTTTTTTTTTTTTTCAACTTCCTTCTCCATTTGGGGTAAGATGCACTTCTGTAAGTGATTTGCTCAGATACCCAGGCTAAATGAAAGCCACTGATTGGGCCAGCTCCTGGACAGCTAGCCTATTAGCCACTCAAACAGAGATCGCATTTGCATAATTAAGAACAGCCACTTACTGAGCACCTAGGGCAGGGGTGGGGAATGTCCGGCCCAGCCATATAAGGCCCTGCCAACGTAACCACAGTTCCAGCCATCACATTATATAGCAGGCTAATTTTTAAGTTGATAATTTTATATGGCCTGCGAATGATGTTATAAATATCTAAATGGCCCTTGGTAGAAAAAAGCATCCCCACCCCTGACTTAGGGTATCCCTGGATGGCGTAAATGGTTAACTGCTTGACTACTATCTGAAAGGTTGGTGATTCCTAAGAAGAAAGGCCTGGTGATCTGCTCCTGAAAGTTCACCACCTTGAAAACACTATGGGATGCAGTTGTGCAACATGCAGGTTGCCATACATTTGAATCGACTCATTGGCAGCTGGTTTGGTTTGGGTGATAGTTCTAGGCACTGTGCCAAGCCTTATATATAGGTTCTTTATAATCTTCACAGCTCAGCCTGCGAAGCAGGTATTATTAATACTTCCATTTTACCAGTGAGAAAAAGCAAAATAACAGTAAAGTGGTACAGAGTTGGGATTGAAACCTAAAACTTTCTGACTCCCAACCTTGTGTGCTTTTTTCACCAGCTGTTTCTAAAGTAAAGTGTGGAGTGATTATAGGGAGTACATGAATATAAGACAAAACAATTCAGATTCACTTTACAGTTTTTTTTTAACTCCTCTCATTTCTTCCAGAAGGAAGTCTCTGGAGCTAGACTAGATGCCTCTCTAGTTCTTGCTAATCCCCTCAGCCAGTGAAGCAATTGCCTGGGGTTTACCTGCATTGTTTTGTTTCTGTGGAATTTATTTTTTAGGGTTGCCTTTGATTTATGAGATGTGACATTGGTTCTCCCTCATGGCAGTGATGTAAGGTTTACTTTAATAATGAATGTATTTAAGCTAACAAGAAGTAAATAATAACATTGGTGGCACCTGGACATAGTAAAAACTGTACAAATGAGACCCAGGTTGATGGAGAGAGGGACACTGAAATCTGAATTCTCATTCGGATTCTGTTGCTGTGTGACTCTGGGCAAGTGCTCCAACTTCCCTGGTCTTCAATCTACCATCTGTGAAATGAGAGAGTTGAACTTTAGCCTTTCCGCTCCACAAGCCTTGGAGAGGATGGAGAGGGGGTTGGGAAAGAGGGACAGAAGAATAGGAGGAAGAGGCCAGGGACTAAATACAGCTCCATCCAGGACTGGGAGCAGTTGAAGTCAGTCAGCCTTGGGATCTCAGGGGTGGTGTGATAACCCCCCAGGTCTTTGAGAAGAGGAAAAATCCAGGAGTCAAGCCAAAAGGAGGATCCGTCTAGTTTTGAGAATATTGTGAGATTCTTGTTCCACGGCTTTATAAAATAACAGAGTGATTCCCTGGATGCTTCTAGAATCACAACCATGGGCAGTTTAGTAATATGAAGGCACCTCTTCTGCTTTGGAGTTTTGCTTGGGTTCCAGACTGTCCTGGCCACCTTTCATGTTCCTGCTTTGAGGCTATACAGTTGAGATTTCCAGATTTCTCATGTTCCCCAATTCTGTTTCTAGGTCCACCCAGAGCCTCCCACTCCATGCAAAGAAGGACAATACCAAACAAACAATCTCTGTTGTGATTTGTGTCCACCAGGTGAGATCCCAACACTCACACATCTTAGTAGCAGGCGAAAACCCATGTCTGAAGTCATCTCCTGGAATTTCCCTCCCTTGCCCAGCTATTAGAATGTTCTGGGTTTTCTACCACCCGGTAGATCTCTTCCTACCCAAGACTAGGTTCCTATCTCTTCCGTCTCCCGCCTCCAGTCTGTGGAGATTAGAAGGGTCCAAGACTTTCCTCTTTGTCCCCTTGTCCCCAAAGTCTGGCCTGATCCCTTGTGAGCAGTGTCTGACTTGGAGTTGGTCAGAGCTGCCTCATTTCCTGATATTTTCCAGGAAGGAAACTGTTGAACGACTGCACTGAAGACAACAGTACAGAATGCTCTCCTTGTGGTAAAGAAGAATTCCTGAGCGCCCCGAACAGTGACAGGCGCTGCCACCAGCATAAATACTGTGACCGCAGTACGTGGGCTGCTGGTGGTGGTTGGGATGGTACTTGTTAGCAGTATTGATATTCCAGTTCATTCCTGATGATGCAACCATTCTGTGTTTAATAGCCAGGGTACTGGCAGGGTACAGGGTACTGGCATTTAAAGAATTTGATTATCACCTCTACTTGGAAGAAGGTCTGAGAACAAGAGAGCAGGCAACAGGGCTTCCAGCATGGCCCACAAGGGGTTCCCATCCTTCCTGTGCATCTGTGCTCAGACCTAGGGCTCCAGGTGCAGAGGGAGGGCACCTCAGAGACAGACACCACCTGCATCTGCAAAGAAGGCTGGCATTGCACCAGCGCAGCCTGCGAGAGCTGTGTCCCACACAGCGTCTGCCCCCCTGGCTTTGGGGTCAAGAAGAATGGTAAGTGGCCTCTCTGGACACTGACTTTGGAGGCAGGAGGGGATCTCAGACCCATAGATGAGGGGTTGGGCAGTGGACACTCAGCCCCAGAGATGGTTGGAATGGAGACTCCAACCTAGATTTGTATCTCAGGAAATAGAAGCTCTTCCCTCCCTTGGGAGGGCAGTGGGAGAAGCCCTTGTGGGGGCTGCAGCGGAAGGGGAAGCACTGTGTCCACGACAGAAGCTCGCCCCTCCCCACCTGTCTACTTGCTCCCTTGAGAACGGGGTGGGTGGTCTACTATGACAACTATGCCCACCCTTACCCACTCCCAGCTACAGGCATTTCGGACACCGTCTGCAAACCCTGTTCAGTCGGCTTCTTTTCCAATGTGTCATCTGCTTTTGAAAAATGCCACCCGTGGACAAGGTATGAGGACCATTCCCTTCTGTTCCCTGCCCCAAGAGGGACTTAGGTCCATCTTCCACACGACCAAGTTCGGTCCTTCAACCTCCTGTTCCCCCATGTCAACACATACTTGTAGAACACCTTTAGAGGGACTTCAGGGCCAAGCCCCAGCATTTGTCTAGCCTGCTCGCTCAGTGTAACAGACGCTAGTGGTTTCTCCCATCTTTGTGGAGTCTCAGGGGGCAGCATGATCTCTCTGTTTCTCGTCTCCTCCTCTTCTGCTCCTTCTAAGCCTTCCTCTTCCTTCCTGCTCCTTAACTGGGGTTTCTAGGACCTTGTTCTGGGCTCTCCTTTCTAGTTGCATTGCCCGCCTTCCCTGGGGCATCTCATTCACATCCGTGGCATCAGCTACCATCTTCCTCTGATGGTTTCCATCAAGATCGTTCCAGGATTCTCTCCTAGATCCAGCCTCACAGCCAATTACCAGTACTGCTCTCCATCTGGATGACCAGATACCTCTAGTTCTGAATGCCCAGAAGAGCTCACTGCTCTCTCCCCTTACCCCGTGCCTTATGTGAGTGAAGGCACGTACCCAACAGACCTCCCTTTCTTACCTCCAACCCTCAACCATCACCCCGTCCTCTCCACTGGCCTTCTAAATGCTTTGGGAATCAGCCTCCTCACTGACCTTGAGTCTCCCCTTTCGCTGGGTCTCCATCCTGTTGCCAAAGTGAGCTTTTCAAAGCTCAGTTCAGTTTACAACACTCCCCTGTTCAAAATGCTGGATGATTCTCACTGCCTTCAGGGTGAGACCCAAATTCCCTAGCATGGCATCTGAGGGCCGGCAGGACGTGGTCCCCACATGACGTTGCCACATGCTGCTTGCAGCTCTCTGAAAATTCAGCTCTTTCTCTCACTCACGGTCCCCTGCCAGGAATACTCTGTGCCACTCCCTCAGTAATTTTTTTACATTTAAATTTTAGAAAAAATGGTTAAAACATGCACGTGGGACAGAAGGCACAAAAGGACCTACAGTGACGTCTCATCCCTGCCCCTTAGCCACAAAATTCCCTCACTTTATGCAATCTCTGTTACCAGTGCCTTGAGTGTCCTTCCACAGAGTCTGTGTACACACACACACACACACACGTTCGCCCTCTTTTTATTTTTGACATAAACAGTAATGTATCACCTATACCTGTTTACTATTTACCTTTGTCCAGGCCTGTCTGTCTTTCACAGCAGAAATGTATTCTTTCACAATTTAGGAGTCGTATTCAGAATGCCTGCTCTACGGGAAGACTTTCTCTCTGTCGGCTCCGAGGAAGGTCTTTGTTCCTTGGCTCTTGGCGATCTTCATGTGGTGGGGTATCTTTCTTCCCCCATTCCTGCTGACTTCTCTGTGTCTACTCTGTTAGTTTCTATCTCAAGAGAGATTGATTTAAAACATACTTTTTTAGTGTAGTGGTTATGAATCAGGCTGTGAACCGCAAGGTCAGCAATTTGAAACTACTAGATGTTCCGCAAAGAAAGAGGAGGCTTTCTGCTCCTGTAGAGATTTACAGCCTCGGAAACCCTGTACAGGGTCGCTATGAGCCACCACCTAGACACATATGCTATAATTATCATAACAAAGAAACCCATTCTCAGATAGAATTTTAACTATAGGTTAGGATTTACAACACCTATTTTCTGGGGGGAGGAGACACAATTCAATCCATCAAATCTTCTCCCCCCACACCAACTGATGCATTATCTCCTATGCCTGGAACACTATTTGATGCATACTAGGTGCTCAATAACTACTTCCTGATGGATGTTGACAGATGAATGGTGCAGGTGCTAGAGACTCAGAGGACTGGGTCCTAGTCTGACTACAGCTTGGTAAGTGTGTGATTCAGGGAACATGCCCTCCACTCTCTGAGCTCAGTGTCCTCATTTGGAAACTGGGAATAACCTTGGTTTCACAGGACTTGAGAAAGAGACACGCGCCAGTGTTTTGTAAGGTTAAGCCAGGTACTTGCACTGAGGCGTCTCTCTTTTCTCCCTTCTCAGTGGGTGTTTCTCTGAAAGTGCCCTTTGCTGTCCCTTCCTCCCCTCTCCTTCTGGTCCATCATTTCACCTCTGGACTCCTGTAATGACCTTCCGGCTGGCCCGTTGTCCTCTAATTTCTCCTCGTTGGAACTGTCTGGCCAGGAAAGCTTTAAAAACTTTTCTTGCCCTCCTTCTATCATCTGGTTGGATGCTGATAAGACTCATCAGCTGACCCCATTTGAAACCTCCATGCCTATCATCAGTGACCTGGTTCTAAGGATCCAATTCCCCATGGTTCCCTAAAACCATTCTGCATGTACCTGACATCTCTGGCACTGTGGTGTCCCTGTTGGGCACAGTCTACTACTTCACATCTTCAGGGCCCACTCAGATTTTCCTCCCCCGGGAAATCTTTCCGGAATACCCCTAAACCAGTGGTTCTCAACTAGAGGCAGTTTTGCTCTCCATGGGACAAGGTCTTGAGACATTTTCGTTACCATAACTTGGGAGGGAGGGCTCATGGGTAGAGGCCTGGAGTAGCTAAGATTTCTATAATGCCCAGAATAGCCCCCCACAGCACAGCAAAGAATGTCTTAGCCCAGAATGTTTGTAGTGCCAAGGTTGGGAAATGCTGCCTTACACTGAACTCATCATCTCTCCATTCTGGCTATTGTGGGTTTATCTCTTCTCTGAAAATGATTCTTATTTCACTTTTGCCAACATCACAAAGCTTAGCATTATTACAGACTCTCGTATTATACTCCTTCAAGAGTTCAGAAGCCTTTTCTCTCCACAGTTCTATAAGAGTCTGCTTCATCCCCATAGTAACCTACGTAGGATGCGACATCAAATACATGCTCCATGAACCCAGATTTGCAGAATGTTTGACTGTCTCCCTTTGGGGTTGAAAAGCTTGTGGCTAGAGAAACTTAATGTACCTTTCTCTGTGTGTGTGCACCTGCTCACATATGTCTTTGTATACAGCTGCAAGAGCAGAGACATGGCTGAACTGAAGCGGGGGACTAACATGAGTGATGCTGTCTGTGGTAAGTTCTGGCAAATGGGCATCTGCAGCAGGCTAGGAAGACAGGGAACTGAAGGGAAACTGAGGCTCAGAGTAACACTGAGCAGGAGAAAAGAGAGGGTGTAAGGTGGAAAGTGGAGGCAATTTGGGATTGTGGTGTCTCAATGTGGCACTGTGGGCTAATGTATCAGACTGTAAAGTCGTTTGAACTGCAAGGTCGGTGGTTCAAGCTCACCAGCTGCTCCTTGAAAACCCTACACAGGGTCACAATGGGTCGGAATCGACTCGAAGGCACGCAACAACAACAACAACAACTTTGCATGGGTCTGGGGGAGCCTTGGCAAGTTACTCCCTCTTCCTCAATCTCAGTTTCTTCATCAGTAAAATGGGATGTTAATAGTACGTTTGGAGTCCTGCTGCGGCGCTGTGGGTTAAAGCACTGGACTGCAAAGTCATTTGAACCACAAGGTTGGTGGTTCAAGCTCATCAGTTGCTTCTCAGAAACCCTATACAGGGTCGCTATGGGTCGCTATGATTGAACGACACTTCACAACAATAACAATAGTACCTTTGGGAGGCCTGGTGTGGCGCTGTGGGATAAAGCACTAGACTGCAAGGTCGGTTTGAACCACAAGGTCGGTAGTTCAAACTCACCAACCGCTCCTTAGAAACCCTGTACAATGTTGCTATGAGTCAAAACCGGCTCAACAGCACTTAACAACAACAATAGTACCTTTCCTAGTAAGTTCTTGTTAATGTCTTCATAAATGCTATTCTTCCCCCCACATTTTAAGTATCCTATAGGGTGACATGGTCCCCTCTGAGGGCTTGTGCTTTAGTTGCAGAATGAGGAGGTTGGTCAACAGCACAGTTGACAAATGCAAATAATGACAGGCATTAGGAAGGTCATGTTCATGAGTGAAAAAGGTCAAGAAGAAGTAAAACACGCCTTGATTTTATTTTTTCCCCCATAAAGTTTAATCCTTGGCATTTGCCTCAGACACAGTATTTAAAGGAATGCCAGAAATACAGTAGCTAAGACAAATAATACTTTAATATATTTTTAAAGTCATAATTAAAGTTTAAAAAACAAAACAAAACATCTCACTCCACGATGAGAAAAATATCAAGAATTTTAAATTACGGCTGTGCCGCACTTACTTCGTCATGATCCTGACCTTGGTTTCTATAAAACTTTATTTTAAAGCAGGCAGCTGGCCTGTGGGCTGTAGTTTGCTGATTTTTAAAAATAACACATTAAAACACTATTTATCCTGATTGCTGAGTTTTTGATGCCCATATAAATTTTGCACCAAGAAGAGCATGTCATTTATCTTACCCTGGGAGTCCTGGTGTGGGGTTGTAGGATAAGCACTGGACTGCTATCCACAAGGTCAGTTCAAACCCTGCAGTCGCTCTTGGAAACCCTATACAGGGTTGCTATGAGTCAGAACTGACTTGATGGCACACCAGAACAACAACGCTCCCTCCCCTTCCTTCTCAGTCTTCCTTTCATCTCCCCACTTAAAATGGGGACTTAGGCATAAGGAATGATTGACTTTCCCTTCTCTTCTTCTAAAGGAGCCCTAGTGGAATTATGGGTTACTCATTGGGCTGCTAACTGTAAGGTCAGCAGTTCTAATCCACCAGCCACACCGTGGGAGAAAGGGGAGGCTTTCTGTTCCCATAAAAACGGACAGCCTCAGAAACCCTACAGAGGGTCACTGTGAGTCAGAACCGACTCTGTGGTAGTGGGTTTGTTCTCTTCTTCTACAATAAACACAGTGGTGCCGGACCTCAGCACTGGGCAGACATTAGAGAGGGTTTGAAGGTATGGTGAATAGGTGGCAACAGCTACCACAACTCCAGTCTAGCCTATGCTTGCCAGATCTTCCAAATTTATAAAACCATCCCACTCTCCAGAGTTTTCATGTTGTTGTGCCATTGAGTCGGTTCTGACCCCTAGCAACACTGTATAGAGTTTCCAAGGAGCGGCTGGTGAGCTTGAATCATTGACTTTGTGTTTCTAATGACTTTGTAGACTTTGTAGCGCATTCGCCCACAGTGCCACACCAGGACTCCATAGATTTTTCATGTAGATTCCTCCAATTTAAAAATGTCAAATACATTTTAAAAAATTGCATTGGTCACATTAAAGACATCCGTTGCTACAGTTCACCATGTGCCACCTGTTTGAATATAATATATATTGATATAAACTTGTTTGACTATAATATATATTGATAGAGTGATATAAATGAGCTCAGACAATGTTGCTGCATGAGGGTGGGGAGTGAGCGTGGGTGGGGAGTCACGGCTGAAGTCTTGATTTCTCCAGGTCCCGGGTCTCGGACAAGAGCCTTGGTGGCAATCCCGGTAACCGTGGGGATCCTGCTTGCTGTCCTCTTTGTATCTGCCCTTATCAGTGAGTCTTTGGGGGGAGGTGATGGAAAAGGAAGGAGAAGGCATAAAATAGAATCCACTAACTGTTCCCTGGCCTTGCCAATCCCCACACCATTTTTTTCTCTTCTAGATAAGGTGGTCAAGAAGCCAAAGAATAAGGTAGGTCCTGTCGTTTAGGCAAACTAGAAAAACTGATTTATTGTCACCTGTGGTGCTGTAGGATCAGCACTGGACTGCAAACCACCAGGTCCAGGTCGGCAGTTTAAACCCCCAGCTGCTTCTCGGAAACCCCATACAGGGCCGCTATGAGTCGGAGTGGACTCGATGGCACTTAACAACAACAATATACAGCAATACACCTGGTTTAGGGTCTGTCACTGTGGCTGAGGAACAGCAGAACTCGCTCTTCTTACCCCACCCCTGGACCCTTGCCTCTACTCCTGGCCACTCCCTCTGTCCAGCTGTTGTCGTGTCCAGAGCCCTCCTTCCCACAGAGTAGCCCCTGACCCCAGGTGCAAAGGCTGACATTTGCTGATCTCTGTTCCTCACCCCCTCTCCCATTAAACACAGAGGGAGCCTTGGGACTTCCCACTCTGGAAGCTTCTTGTTACCCTCACTGTGGCCAGCAGGGGGCAGGAGACACCCAAAGAATCAGCCCTGACCCTGAGTGTTCGGAAAAAGAAAGGCGTTTGGGGAGGGGCCTCAGAGACGGAGGCTACCCCTGCTGCCGGGGAGGTAACCTCACTCTTTGGTTCCCCAAGGCTACCCTAGGTGAAGACAAAAGGAAGGTTCCTGTGGAGACAGTTTTTCTGGATGACATTCCTGGCACCAACCCAGTTGCTCCAGTACAGGAAACATTACACGGGTGCCAGCCGGTTACTCAGGAGGATGGCAAAGAGAGCCGCATCTCTGTGCAGGAGAGACTGTGAGGCTGTGGGTGCCCAGGAGAGGCAGCCTGGGCATTGGACATCTGGCCAGAGAATTCAGAGCTGCCGTCCACACCATGAGGGCAGGAGCTGATGGCGCTGAAGCCCCTCTATCTGTGCTCTGAGGTTCGAATCAAGGGAAAGAGTTCACCTTGGAGGACTCCTCACTCCAGCCCTGGAGCCCCACCTACCTCTCAACTTGCTTTCAAAGATGGAGGCAAAACACTTTTGGGGCAATATAGTAATAGCCACTAAACTCTCCTGCCCACCAGGGGTGCATTATAGTGGTTTCCATGTGCCCAGGGAGATGCATGCAAACGACCATTGCAATGTTGTTTGTGATCATGAAAAGCTGGAAGTTACTTAGCTGCCCATCCAAAGGAGACTGGCAAAATAAAATTGTAATATATTTTTACAATAGTATCTCAAAGACACTGTTGAGTGTGTGTGTGAGGGAGGTTGCAGACTCATGGGTATAGAAACACTGAGTTTTAAAAAATATACGGTGATGAAAACCCCCCCCCTATATGATGTATTGCCTGTGGATATGTGTATAAATGCAATACACATTATGTATGTATGCGTAAGAGTTCTGGAAGAATACACAGAAATCCGTAACGCAAAGTATGGTAATATCTGGGTTGGAAAGAGGGTCTGGGAAAGGGTTGGTTAAGGGATACTTGGATTTCCCATAATGCTTTACTTCTTTTTCAAAAGGAGAGTAAATTCACATATTGCTTATGAAATTAAAAAATCATCAAACATGTAAAAAGAAAATTGGGGGTGGACATGCTGGGTGATCTGAGCTGTTTCAGGCCCACAGAATTAAGGCAATTTCTGAGGATAAATAAGAATATCCCCAGGCTGCTATTCCCCGCCCCAGCCTCCCAGGGTGGGCTCTTTGTATCTTCACATTTGGCATCATTTTTTTCCTACAGTATTACCATTTGATGGGGGCAGGCAGGGGGCAGGCAGGAAGAACCTGCATCCCTCTCTCTTTTTGTTGTTGTTGTGAAGTGCCGTCGAGTTGATTCCAACCCATAGCAACCCTGTATAGGGTTTCCAAGGAGCAGCTGGTGAGCTTGAACCGCCAACCTTGCAGTTCAAACGGCTTTGCAGTCTGGTGCATTAACCCACAGCACCACACCAGGACTCCTCTCTCTTTTACTGAGATAGAAATAGAGGCCCAGAGAGTTTAAGTGACTTGCCTACAGTCAAACAGCAGTTCCTAGCAGCGCCTCATTCAGAATCTCCAAACCTGGTGCTGTGTAACATCTCCCAGACCTTGTTGCTGGACCCCGTGTCGTGTCTGTAGCTGTCTCCCTGGGAGATCCTAGGCCTCCCACCCACTCTGACCTCCCAACTGCAACAGGAGTTCTGGCTTCTTGGTCAGATGGTGCTGCTAACCCCCAGCAGTATCTCAGGATAAAAATAACCATTCTGTTCTCTTTTCCTGCTGTGCCAACTGAGGGGGGAGCCTCGCCAGGAGGGGCAGCAGATGGAGTGAGAGCAGAAGGGAGGGGTAGGGCGGGGAGGGAGGTTATAGGACAAGGAGGAAAGAGAAAAGCACAAAGATTCCTGGTGAGGATCAGGCCAGCCTGGGAGAAACCCTGCGATCTTAGCCTTTCCCCAGCAAGAAGCTGCTTTGGGTTTTCCAAAGTGTTCTGTTGGCCAGAGGGTTGGGGTTGAGAAGGTTTTTCTCTGATGGAGACAGGGAAGGTGACTGGGAGCCAAGAGGGCCACCTGGCTTGGCAATCTTCCCAGAAGAGCTCCAAGGACCATTTGGATTACCAGGTGGAGGCCTTTGGTTTAGCAAGTGGAACAAAGTGGTGGGTAGTGTGTGTGTATGCGAGCTAGCCCTCACCCCCTACTTAGAGTCCAATGCTAGGGTTACTTGCTGTTGTGCATGGCAGGAGGGTGGACAGAGAAGACCCAACCCTGTTACATTGTCCGATAACCTTGGCTGAGTCATCTTCACTTCTTGACTTCCCAGTGTCCTCATCTGTGAAATGGAGACAATACTTGTTTAGCAGACCCGATTGATGCCTCTTGGTGGCTCAAGTGGTGAAGTGCTTGGCCATGAATTAAAAGATTGGCTGTGTAGATCCATCCAGAGTCACCTCAGAAGAAATGCCTGGCCATCTACTTTTGAAAGCTCAGTCATTGAAAACCATATGGAACATAGTTTCACTCTGACGCCCACAGGGTTATGAGTCAGAATAGACTCCGTGGGCCACTGGTTTGGTTCAGGGCTTCAAACTGGTTCTTCCCAGTTTGCCCATGGTTAGTGAAGCAAAACTGGATTGGATCTGAATTTGTAAGATGTAGGTGTGCTGGAATGATAACCAGAACTCAGACAAGGACTGGTCAGCACCCTGCTGGAGACTTAATATCCCTCCTAGAAATCAAAGGCAGCATGCACGTTGCAGAACAACCAACTTTTTTTGACAAGCAGAGATGGAAACAATGGGACTTGGCTCCAAGATGGCCCAGCGGCGCTCCAAACCAACGGCCATCAAGTCCATTCTGATTCACAGTGATCCTGTATAGGGTTTCAGAGGTTGTAAATGTTTACTGTAGACAGCCTCATCCTTTTCCCTCAGGCTGCTGGGTTGGAACTGTCATTCTTGAGTTTAGCAGTCCAGTGCTTATTCACCACCAGGACTCCTGTCATTCTCCCACAGTCCTGACAACAATCTAGTTTCCTGGATGTGACTCATGACCCCTCATATGAGCCCCCCATTCCAGGGCTTCGACCTGCAATCTTACAAATTCAGATTTGTTTCAAATTCGCTGTGTTCAAGAATCAACTGGTTCAAAGTCTCGGTTTCGTGTATCTCTCAGATTAGAGGTTCTCACACTTTAATGTGTATCAGGATCACCTGAAGGACTTAGAGCACAGATGACTGGGCCCAACCTCCCTGTTTCTGGTTCTGTATTTCTGAGGTGGAGCTCAGAATTTTGTGTTTCTAACACGTTCCCAGGTGCTGCTGTTGCTCCGGGACCACGCTTTCCAAACCACTGCCCTTGGTATTCACACTTCTATATATGTTGCCATCTTGGCATAAGTGTGGGGCAGGTTGGATGTACCTGGGTCATAAATGCTTCAGTTCTCTCAACTAACTAGGAATGAGACTTGACATATAGACATCTCATCTTCTCCTTGGGAGGGATTATCGCGAGGTGTCTCCTAGGGTCCTGAGAGAGACGGTGTCCACCGCACCAACTAGCTACAAGACACCCAGCAGTGGTTTTTATTGTGTCTCTCCCTGTTTCATTCCCCAGCCCTCCCCCACCCCTACTGGTGCTTCCCGGAATCAACTTCTAAATAAAGTACCCACCCCTGGTGTGGCTCTGTGGGCTAATGCACCAGACTGCAAAGCTGTTGAACTGCAAGGTTGGTGGTTCAAGCTCACCAGCGGCTCCTCGGAAACTCTATACAGGATCACTATGGTTTGGAACCTACGCGATGGCAGTTAACAACAACAACAACAAATTCATTCCTTGGCTCCAGGTCTGCTTCTGGGGGAGTTCCCCCAAGAATCAGCAGAGTTCATGGATGAGACAATACCGTCCTGTATCTCTTAGCATCCCTGACAAAGGGAAGGGGTTGTGGTTCTTGGCAGCAGTAGCAAGTTCTGGGTTCTACTTAGAATTTGGCCAGAACTTCCAGAACTTTCTGTGTGACCTTGGGCAAATGACTCTGTGGTTCTGGGCTTGGGTTTCTCGGGATGTGTGACAAAGGGCTGGGTCCTTTGAGATCTAAGGGTCTTGCCAGTTTAAAAAATTGTGCAGAGTCCAAACTCACTGCAGGGTCCACTCTAGTCTGTGTGATAGAGGGGTGGGTGTGAGGCATGCATCAGCCAGAAGGTGGCACCAAGGTACCGTCTGCAGATCCTAGTGGTGGGTTGGACCCCGGAAGTAAAGTTGCTGGTGGTCACACCACAACAGAGCCCTCCTTGGGAGAAGACAGCTTCTCCCTGGCCCCATAAGCCTGAACCCCCCGAAGTCTCAACTCTGCCACTTGGTCTCACAACCCCAGGTTTCGCCCTCTCCCTTCCTTCTCCTCATTCAACACATATGAGATGTGTTCCTACTGTGTGTCTCACCTGGCCTGGGTGGTGTGTGACAATGATAACACTAAGAACTCACAGTACTCACTATGCACTAGACACAGTGAGAACTTTCCATGCATTATCTTAGTCCAGGCGACAACCCTATGTAGGACATATTCTCTTATCATGAGGCTCAGGATGAAATGAAGAATTGAAGCAAGGATTTTAACCTTCGACAGCACTTAACAACAGCAGGTTGACTCAAAGGAGCTCTGGTGCCTCAGTGATTAAGAGTTTGGTTGCTAATGGAGAGATCGGTGGTTCAAACCCACCAGCTACTCTTCCGGAGAAAGACATGACAGTGTGCTTCTGTAAAGATTTACAGTCTTGGAAATACTCTGGGTAGTTCTAGTGTGTTCTGTAGGGTTGTTATGAGCTGAAATCAGCTCATCGGCATTGGGCTTGGTTTTTTGGTGGCAGTGGTCGGGGGGTTAGGTTGACTCAGAACTCGGGCAGTACAGTGGTGAAACACTTGGCTGACGACGGAAAGGTTGCTTTGAACCCACCAGCAGCTCTGTGGGAAGAAAGACCTGGCCATCAGCTACTATAGAGATTTACAGGAAACCCTTTAGTGTCATAGACTTGGTCCTGTTGGGTTACTGTGACTCACTATGAGAATGGTAGCATACAATAATATTGGGTTGACCCAAAAGCCGGTGGTTTTTACCCACTTCGTGAGTAAGGAAATGGACACATGTTAATGGGACATTAGCAGACAGTGTGACTGCCCGGAGTAGAAGGAAAGCCTACAGCAGTAGCTGACTCCCAGGGCAGAGGCTGTAAATTCATGCCCACCGGAGCTGGCGTGAGGCAGGCCAGAACACCAGAAGTCCAAGTGATAGAGACTGTGGCAAACTGCAGAGACTGTACCCATCTTGGAGTCCCTGG